AAGATCAAATTTAGTTTGTTTTATTCACACTTTTCCAATACTAGCCATTTATCTGTCACAATTTAGTCCGCAAATGATGACAAAGAGCAAGGTATCTGTTCAAATAGTAAATTAACTTTAATTAAACAACACAAGAGAGAGTTTCAAAGTAACAGTGTTTACTCAGGCTATGTTTACACGGAAACGATCTGAAGAGAAAACGCAAAAATGGCGTTGCGTTATCACTTTTTATTCTGCGTTTAGACGAGCGTTATGGGTGGGAAATCTGCGTGCATATGGTGACGCAAAAGTGTGTGAAATTCGATGTAGTATGCACTCCAGGCGGCTAGGTGGCAATGTGAAGCACTGCCACACAACAACACTGTCTAGCAGACCTTTGCGTTTTTACCCTTTTACCCTTTAAACTTTTTTGCGTTTTTAAGCCCCAAAAACACCGTCTCCGTGTAAACGAAAGGCACATCTGATAAAATATTTTTACGTTTTTACCTGCGAGCGTTCTCGTGTAAACAGGGCCTCAAACACAAACAGCACCAGACAAAGAGGAACTGAAACAGAGGGCATTATACACATGATAATGACCTAAAAGCAAACAGGTGTGAGTACTTAATCAAAAACCATGGTAACAAATGAGGTAGGTAGGTAATCAACATAGGTAACAGGAAACAAAGAGAAGCAAACTAACTATAGAACTAATTTACTTTGAACACTTTCAAACAAGACTTTATCAACATTCAAAGTTTGTCTTGAAAATTAGTTACAGTATGAAAAATAAATATTAGAATTCTTTTTAATTCTATTTACATTCTAATTCAAACTGCATTTCTGCATTCTGATTGTTATTTGAAAGTCCGTTTCAACTCAAATTGTTGCACACAACCCTTTCAGGGAAAAAGAAAATGTTCAATCAGAGTGATAAGCTTGCCTAATGGGATAAATCTAGATCTACCAGAATTAGTTTTGTTGACCAATTTGTTGACTGTGACAACAGCTGACACTATAACAGGGGTTTTTCATGTTTTGTATGAAAAGAATTCTTTAAAAAAGTTTTAAGATGAATTTCTCTTTGTTGAGCAAAAGGCTTTCATCTGAAAAAGAATGTAACACAGTCTTTTTGAGGTACTCATGGGATTCATGCTGTCTGAGGAGTGTAGCAGACGCCTCACCTCCGATTTTCAAAGGAGAATTGATGCATGTCTCAGTCTCACCCAGGATGGAGTACCTTGGGATTATCCTATCAAACATGAATTTGTCATTTTTGCCAAATCCTCTTTGAGCAGAAACGTTTTTTTTTTCTCAAATAAAACTCTGAGTACAAATTCTCAGTTTGGTCTTTTGAGATGCAAGAACTATCAAAGCACCTTCCTGCTCAGCCATCACTAATCAGCGACACACACTATAGGGATTCGAGGGACTGTGGGTCAGTGTGTCCGCAAACACATTTGTATAAAATCCTCTTCTTCTTATCTAGCCCAGTTTTCAGCTTTGCAATAAATCACAGCGCTTCTTAAGCAAAACAAAGCAACATCCTTCTCTCTCCAAAAAATAAGTAAATAAAAACTTCGAAGCTTACTTTGGTGAAGTGGGGATTTAATTTCTAAAGATTGCTTCAGCAGAAAACTCATAACATTAATATGGATCAAAGTCCAAGGCTTTGTTTTCCAAATTGACTGAGATTAATGAAGGATGCGGATTTTCTCATTAATTATTTGCGGAAGAGTGGTTTTACTTATTAAATATGTGTTACTGTCAAATTATGGTTTGGGAATTCATCCATGTAGATATTGCTGATATGACTGTAACTGTGTTTAGAAGCTGCAAGTAACTAAACCTTTAGAAACATAAAAAGCCCATATTATTCGTATAAAGAGGTTCTCGGAATTTTTCTGGCTTATACATCAAGCCGAATTGTCAGAAGGAGATCTAGAGGACAAATGTATTCAATAAATGAATAAATGAAGTATAATTACTGGAGAAAACACAGTGCCATTTCAGACAACATGACCTTTAAACAGCCCTTCAAAACAGCTGACATTTTCTGCTTTCCTTTTTAAATAGTCCACATAGAAAAATAATATTGAGAGAGAGAGAGAGCATTTTTCATTTACATTACGACTTGAGTGTATCTCACAAATTAAAAGGCCATACAGACCTATTCAAAATCCCTGGACCCCCAAGCTTTTGGGTCCTTGAGCTGTAGTGGGCAGTGGCAGAGATCTTGATGGATGGGGTAAGAGTACCCCGATCAATACTAACCTGAACTGCCCACACAGAAGAGAGAGAGAGAGAGAGAGAGAGAGAGAGAAGAATTGGTACGGGGTGATGAATATGAGCTTAACAGATGGAAGCATCTGTGTTTGTTTGAATGAGCTTCTCTTGAGAGTCTTACAACATGGTATATGCCTGTGCTGTAATGACACATTAAATCTGTTGTAAGACAATGTCTGCGGGAGCATTTCCTCTTACGAGGCAAAAAGTAGATATTGTTACTCATTAAAATCCCATCAGCCAAAATCACAGTATTCAGTTTTCTAGAAATGCTGTTTTGCTATTTGCTTCTATGCAGTGTATGGAGTCCTTATCTGAACTATTAAGATGACTAATTGGTCATTGTTTTAAAGTTCATCACACAGATTAAGTTCATGATAAAACTTATACATGGCTATGAAGTTATAAGTATAAGTTAAGGCCTTGAAATGAAGTTAAAAGGCTATAATGAAATGAAATGATCAAACAGTCTAGAATGTGTACAGTATTTTATTAATTCCTTGGTTTATAGGTTTGTATTCAAGCACTGTATTTTAGTAACTTGAGTCAAAACTAATTTGTGTTTTCTCAATCCTTTTTTTATTTTAGTTTCAAAAACATGTTTGCGTTATTATTAGGGCAATTTGTCACATGTATTTCAAAAGTTTTATTTTTTTATTTAACAATTTATTAATTGTTTATCTATTTTTATTGAATGATAATTGTGAAAATGTTTATCTTTTTTTTAAATCAGGATTTTACAGTATGTGTCTATTAATTGACATCCCCTGAAACATATTCACTGGAGTAAAAAAGTGTGACAACTATCCCCCTTTATATTTAATTATTTCTTTCTTTATTTGATATCAGTTTTTCTATTCTAAATGTACAGTTACAAAATATTGTCAGTTGCTGATATAAACTGACAAACGCTTAACTGACAATATATCTGCATGTTCAGTGCATGACATCTGTGCCACACAATCCTACACTATTCTATTCTCCTGGCAATGCCAATGATGGAACAGAAATATCAGGAGGGACAAGTCCTGCAGTTTTATGTCATTCCATTTGCACCTAAATCCTACATTCAAAGGTCACATCAATAAGTCTTTCTTTCAACCACATGCACCATTAATCATTCAAACTCACATCCGTCATCACAGAGGACTAATGTGTTCTCTAAAGATCTGTTCTGGCTTGAGGTTCACCCAACCACTTTTTTAAAAAAGTGTCATTGATTCCTCTGCTTTCACACTAAAGTTCTGTGAATATGTGACATCCTGTCTCAGTCTGCATTTATCTATTTTATAAATCAAGGTGATTTATAAAATACGCAGATTTATAAAATACGCATTCAACACGCAGTAGTGATGTTTCATTCCTGAATGAATCAGCATTTTAAACTAATTAGTGACGCACTCATAAAGACACACTTGTTTAGTTCATGAATGAATCAGCTTGTTTGAACGAATCGGCTGAAATGGATGACTCAATGACTCACTTATAAATAAGAGTGACTTGTTGCCAGGTATTTGGCATAACTACTGTATGCAACCTGCACTCCTAAAAATAAAGGTTCCCCAAAGAACCTTTCAGTGAACAGCTCTTAAAAGAACCACTTTTTTCTAAGTGTAAAAAATATTTTAATAGTCTAAAGGACCTTTTCCACTATCTAAAAAAAACTTTTGTTCAATGGAAAGGTTCCATGGATGTTAGAGGTTCCTTATGGAACCTCTAATGCCAATAAATAACGGTTATTTTTTTCACAGACTGTGAAAACTCTCCACCACGAATGGATTTTGCAAACTATTAATAAAAACAATATCTAATAACATATTTGTCTGTATGAAAACTTAATTATTCACTGTCAGTTATTCAATACATAAAAAAATACAATCTTGGGCTAATGAGTATATTACATAGGCCATGGAGTGAATTTAATAAATAAATCATCAGCATCATATTCATATGACAGTTGCTAAGGTTCTCCCGAGTTGTAGACCATCACCAAACAATCTAATGTGTCCACATAACTCTACATAATGGTATCCAGATTGTTGTATTATGTATTTTGTAATGCATACTTTAACTGTACTTTGCAGTAATGCATGGTGTTTACCAAAATATATAAATATAATAAATAATATAATATATAATATACAATAAATATATTCTGTAGAAAAGAGCAGCCTTTTTGAGCTAATGTTAAATGAAGGATTTTTTGTACTCTGGTTATGAAATGAAAGACATTGCTTATAGGTGCAGAACAACCTCTGGTAATGTCTTCCTCAAAAGAAACATTTATAAGCGGAACAAAAACAGTGCATGATTATGTGTTCTTCAGCAAACTAGACTTTAACTATGAAAGCCTTTCCTAAGACTGCAAGCACAGGAGGGATTTGCACCAGATGTAACACCTTTCTATTCTATTCATTTCTGTTTTTAACATTCCTACATTTGCATAACCAATGTCCAAGTTATGCTTTTATGACCCTTTTAACAAAAGGACCAGCCTCTTCAAAGCAAACGACATAGAGCGGAGCTAAATTATTATCTTCAACCATTCAGATATTTGTGTTACAGTACAATTCTCGCTGTGCTTGTTATGAATTATGAAAACGACTGAATTATTATGTAACTCACTTTTAAAAGGTTGAGTTTCCACCTTTGAGAATTTGAGAAAAAGGTTAAATCATTACATTGGATGGGTTGATGAAAATAATTATGATGCTATTTTTTTCTTCTTATTTCAGAAGACCACTGGGGACTTTGCAGAGCATCAGAGGGTAAGTGTGAAGATAAAGATATTCAATGTTTTTTAATTCATGCAAAATTAAATCCATTTATCCAATTTGATTTATTATTTGCCAATTAAAATAGCTTTTTTTTCTTACTGCACATATAATGGAAGAATTGATAAAAAATCTAATCCAATGTGATGGCGGAGGAAATTTGAAGTTTCAATGTTGCAGTCTAACAAAAGCATCACACTGCCTTGTGTTGAAAGGTCAGTGAGAAGAATCTTTATCATTATCAAACCTTCATTGCAAAGTAGTGTTTTTGTTGAGTCCTTCAACAATAACAATGTTTATGCAAATGTTGGAAGCATACAGTGTAACAGAACATCATCTCAATCTATTTAATTGCTGATTTTGCTTCACAGAGAAATTGTGGTGTCTAAGTAGCTGTCCAGGGTGCTAAATCAATGCAAACACATCGCTCAATACTAAAGCTCACCTCCTCTCCTTCTTAACAACCATTTTAGATGGCTCTGTATATGAGAAATTTACATAAAGGCAATCGGGGGAAATATACCCCCATAGTCTGGCCACCCCCCATGCCAGTCACACTTAAAGGAACACCTCTCGCAAAACAAGCGTCATAAGTGGCCCACGCTATAGAGAAAAAAATTGCAGCCTGTGTCTGGTAACAAATAGAGAGGAAGTGTAAATACACCGCACTGTGCATGAAATCAATGGAGTCCACAGCTTTTTCTAAGACCTGCTAATGCACTCAGCCTCATAAAGGATCTTTATTAGACCCAGACTGGGGCACTTTGTCAGGTCTTGATAATGTCTCAGAGACACAGATAACTGCTGGTAAAGAGCAGGGCCCAGATGAAGAGTGAAATGGGAAAATTACTGGCTGTCCCCAAAAGCAAATTATGGAAGCTGGATATTTCACATAGGCTAGTTCCACATGGAGCACACTTCTGTTCAAAAGATTTTTTAATGTAAAGTTGCTTATTCTCACCAGGGCTGCATTTGTTTGGTTAAATACAGTAAAATTGCAAAATATTATTCCATTTTAAAATAGGTGTTTTCTATTCTAATATATTTAAAAATGTAGTTTATTTTTGTAATGGAAAAGCTGAATTTTCAGCACTCAGTCTTCATCGTCACATGATCCTTCAGAAATTATTCGAATATTCCGATTTGGTGCTAAAGGAACATTTATTATTATTATCAATGTGAAAAACAGTTGTGCTGCTTAATATTTTTGTAGATACCATGATTCTTTTCTACATCTTTTTCATAATTCTTTGATTAATAGAAAAATCAAAAGAACAGCATTTATTTGAAATAGTAAAGACATTTGTAATGTTACTAAAGATTTCTGTCACTTTTGATCAGAACAACAATTTTAATTAAAATAATCTTTTTAACAGGCCATGTTAAACGCTTGTGATGCATAACCCTTTTTAATGAAGTGTGTGTAAACTGTACTTAGCACTAAGGACATACTGTATTCTGCTTCTGTGTGAACGTGGCCACACACACAGCTAGACCTTCCCAGTCCATGATGAAAATGGATGGATTTAGGGTCCTGAGTTCTAATCCACAGAAAGGCTTTTGTAGTTAAAAGGCCAGACCATTATAGTACGGCATGGCCTTTTTCAAAAGCATTTGGCAGAAAGTGGATTAAGTTATTGATTTGTGGAAAATGTCACAGCATAAATATTTGCGTTTTAATGCAGTACAGTGCAATCAGTGTTGACTTTTCTCAATGAGTTTTTCATTTCAGCCCTACAGCTGGAGCGAGCGGGAACTGTTGCCACAATTCATGCGCTTCTCAATAAGGGCTTATGTGTTTAGCATAGCTGAATGATTAGCATGCAAAACGAAATGAATTGCTTTCATTGATTGAGTTTCACACTGTCATTAACAGCAATGAAGACAGACAAGAGGCCATGGATGACTTGGCTCATTGTGGCGGAAAGCCTTGACGTTAAAACATATATCTCGTGGGATCTCACTTAACCTTTTTGTTTCCCGGTTTAAACGTGATAAATGACTGCATTAAATGAAAGTGAAACATTTTATTATCCTCGACAGTTGTGGAGCACCTTAGGTTTCAGGCCTTTTCTTTTGTGTAGTGGAATTTGATTGTTAAACGACAATTGTTCTCTGTCATTTACTGGTATTATGTGTTGAAGAATTTTTTAATTCTTAAAAAAAAAAAAAAAATTTGAATAAAAAATTCTTCAACGAAAATTTTTTCTTTTTTAATTAATAGCATTAATCGCCATCTCTGAAACCTTTTTTGGGCTCAAACTTTTTAAACCGTGTCATTTTTTTGGAGAATGTTTTTTGTTTTTTTTTGTCTTAGGGTCAGTCCTCAGAGATCTTTTGTAGGAAGTTTGGAGGCCATTATGTCACCAGGACAAAAGGGGAAAGATGCCATTTTAATTAAAGTTGGCAGATTTACCATCCACATAGGGTTTAAAACATCACCCGTCTGTGCAGATCGAGGCCGAAGTACCAGCGATAAAAATGATTTATGCTATAGGGCAGCGGAGAGATTTCTCCAAGGGACTGGCAGAGGAATTAGCACAGGCATTGGAAGGCTGACCTGTAATGAGGAGGAATGACATTAGATTCAAACCTTTAAAAACGATGCAGGGCCAAACAATCAGTTACTGCCTCAACATGGGCCCAACCCTTGCCTTGAGATTTATGTTTAACCTGGGATTAGAAGACCAGGGATTAGATCATAGAGGAAAAAAGATTCCAGATTTTCATTAGGCTATTTAATTAGTTTCAAACTCAAATTAGTTGCATATGTCAGTGCTGTTACCATAACTAAATCTAAAACTATTAAAGATTTAGTTTTCGGCGATTGAAATAAAGGAAAATAAAAAATGTTAAACTTAAAACTGCAAAATCTTAAATGTTTATTTGGCAACTAACTGAAAAAGCCACGCCCCCTAGTTATTGTTACTACGCCCGTCAAACAAATGGTCAAACACGACCAGCGCCACAGATAAAGATGTATACCCGTGCGTGTCAGTGACCTTTTTTGGAGCAATACCTCTGCGATATCCTCCAGATCGAGGCACAAGGGGTTACAGTATGCAGTGGAGGGATATATTCAAAACATAAAAATACGCAATAAAGGAGAAACGACTACTATCGAGGCTAATGCTTATACCGGTCTCAAGCGAAATCTGAGAAACCCCATGACCTGTAACGTTACCTCAAATACAACCAGCACAGCCTGGAAGAAGATTTTATAAGCTGGTTCAGTGGCTAATTGTTTGGAGTTAGAAATATATAACTCCCGCTGCATATTTAGTAATTTTGCCTCAGATACAGGATTATACATTCGCTTTAACAACCGCTTGCGTGTCATGCTGAATGCGATTTTCGTGTTTAAAAAGTAACTATAAGAGACGGAAAGATGCAGATAACCATACATTATTTAAGGTTATTTCTATTCATTACGATATTGATAACGTTATATGAACTGATGTTGTCAAATAAGCTTCATGCGTTCCCCGTTGCGAACGTGCACTCCTCTAGTCTAAACTGTAGTCTACGGGTGCACTGCTCTAGTGACTGCTGCTCATTTCCCCCCGAAAATATCATGTTATCAACAACCCTTTAGAAAACGTAATTCCTTTGTGGATCCTCTTGATCTGCTTTCTCCATGTTTCTTTGACTAATCTCAGTGTCTCAGTCTCACGCATGCTGCACGCGAGTTAACCATGTTCGACACATGTAACTGGGAGTGGGGCCGTCCACACTGTTTTATCCATTGTAGGCACCGCTCACGATGTGTTTTCGGCTTTGGGAATGGAAAGAACAGAACTCCTCCAGACAATCTCTCGGGGTATCTTGTGTCCGATTTACAAACGCCGTGGGCGCACCGCTTCACCATCTTGTTTGGAGTCAATGTTTGACGGACCTGCTCACATAGTAACGGTTGCTATGATGTGTGATTGGACAATGCCCGTTTTTGGGGAGGGGCTTGCGAACGGTCAATTGCACATTCTTAGTATACTTTCAGCTAAAACTGGGTAAAGAAGCTAAATATATTTTCTGTAATCGAAGAATCCAAAACACTTGGACTGGTTTCCTTAAGGACACATCTTCACATGTTTACAGAGAAAGTGTACGAAGGAAAATGAGAGCTTGCTTTGTTGATATTACCACTTTGACCTCAGTACAGTTATGAGTCAAAGACTCGCTCTCATAGCGCTCAGCTGTTGGTAATGGTTTTAGAAGCTCAGTTTCTATGCTTAGCTGGTTTTGAGGAAGAAAGGCAAATGTTTGAAGCATTTATGTGTGCAAAGGGTATGCAAAGACTCCAGGCACCAGATGCTGGAGACATGAAAGCAGGACCTTCAAAAACATTACACTCCCTTTGTTTCTTCACCTCAAACAGCTCATTCTGCTGAGAGTCCTCTGTCTCAAGAAACTGAGCTGAATTGATTCTCTGAAAAGATAATCATATTATTCCTCTCCCCCATGGAGAGACCAGGCGATTGCATCTCTGCCGTGGTGTTGTCTATCAGCACTGGAATTTTTAATTAGCACCTGGAAGCTAATATTTTATGCCTCCCCATGGCACATTTGAGCAGGCCAGTCGAGAACTGTTCATGTAACCATTTGGAGCGTAAATACTGTCTCCACACGAGTTCGTTTCTGAAGCAAGCAAAGGGAGAGTTAAAAAAAAAATCTCTGTTTATAAATATAGGGTGGGTAGTGGGTTACTAGGTCAACAATGGTGAACACTTCACATTGTGGTGAACAGCGCATTCCAGGGCCCAGTTTATGGCGGGGCCCTGCTCTGTCCATAACAGTGGACAAAGGTTTGCTACATTTAAGATTGGGTCTTTCTTGGTGGACTAAAACAAACAAACTGTCCAACGCCATCAGATAAAGATGCTAGGACAACAGCCAGACACCTCTTAGAGGGCAAGAAGAAGACCTCTGGTACCAATCCCAGGAAGGATATAACTTCTCATTGGTCCACATGCGGTTTCTGCCCTTCACCCCATCTA